TCATCCATTAAAAAAAATGGATTTTTTTTAATATCATATATTTATTCCTTCTTTTATATACACACAGCAGAAAAAGTCTGCGGTCATCCACATTTTTTATTAAATTTCGCATAATTTTTTTAATTTTTACTCAAATTGATTTTTGTTTTCTGATTTATTTTAACCAAAGAAACAACAATAAAGTTTAAACATAAACAATTAATAGTTATTCTTAAAAAAAAAAATTAAACACAATTAAATGAAAAAACAACAATTTTCAAAGCAGAAAAAGTTTGCGGTCACTTCTAATATTTTAATTAAAACAATTAAAATTCACAGAAACTTACAATTTAATAGCCTGTGGGATAACCTCTGCGTTAAATACCCTCTTTTAGACGTTTTTGTATGGACTTAACCAGTTTTGTAGTATCCTGTGCTATAAAAGCAGTATAGAAGAGTCATGATCAAATTATTAGCGATAGAAATTAAATGGAAATTTCAACAGATAAATATTTTTAAAAAATCATAAAAAAAGAACTCGACAAACCATCGTAATGAAATAAATGTAAGAATATTCTTCAGAGTTTCCTCTTTCCTAACAAATATAAAAGCTGATAGTTAAAAAAAATCTTATAGAATAGAAGAGTCATGATCGAATTATCAGCGATGGAAATTAAATGGAAATTTCAACAGATCAATATTTTTGTTTGTGTTTTGCTATAAGCCAACGTGTATGGATTTCTTCTTTTTGTTTTCCTTTTAAGGGAATATGTACGCATTATTTCCTTGTTGGTGCATTGAATATAGTTATGTAAAATTGGAAGTATTGTGTGTGCGTACAGGTTGTATGCAAATAATATAATTTTATCTGTAATTAGATTATGCCTAAATAAATAATGCCTAATAAATAATAAAAAATGGTAAAGGTACTAAAAAAGGTAAAAGCTGTTAGATTACACGTTTCTGTTAAGTTATATGCAAAATAAATCATTTATTAAATAGCAGAAAATGCATTTTCAAACTTTGTTATACATGAACTCAAAAAAGATTTTAATTTTAAATTTATTGATTGTTTTCTGCCAGTTTATTAAAGTAAAAAATTTATTTATTTGTTAAATGACCATTTCCGTTTTAATATGTATATATATACTAGATAACCCGACAAACGTTGTTTTGCCTTATAAATTATTTCTAGTTTCTAGATAAATTCTAGTGTAGACAAAAAGTAACTTACTTATTATAAGTGTGTAAGTCTGTGGTATATGCATGAAATAGGCATGGAGCGCTATGAACGAAAAGGAAAATAAAAATAACAAACGCCAAACAATATTATTTTTAAGTTATTATAGTTTATTTATTAAATTATTAATTTAAAATCAATAGATTTGTAAGATACCAAGTTCCCTGGCAACAACTGTTGTATCTTCAAATTTAAATTGTCTTGGATTGACTCTAAATAATAATAATGATAATGGGCCAGTAACATTAACCATTGAGTAAAAATATTATAGAGTCACAATGACTCAATTTTTAAATTTTCAGCAACAGGCACGGGAGGGCTGAGTGAAGATTTTACTTCTTTCTGCGCTGCTGCTAGATCGGTTGCGCCATTGAGTAAAAATATTATAGAGTCACAATGCCATAGAAATTAATTTTTGTTCTAGGTATCTACTACTGGGTACCCAAATCACTCAAATCTCTGCCGACGTCGCTTCAGTCGCTTCAGTTTTTACTCAATGGTTGCGCTTATGCTTGTTATTTCTAAAAATTTTACTATTGATGAATGAAGGACAAAAATGAAAACAAAAAACAGATTTGCTTGTTACGAATGCAGACCGTACAAGAAAAGTGTCAAATTAGTTTTTGGTGTAATTATTTGTTTTTGCAATTAATGCTTGGCGCCAGCAAGCAGCACGTAAAAATTTCGTGCATTTAATATTACTTCATAATGCAAATAAGACAAACATCCCTACTTGTTTGGAAGTTTACTGATCTACATATATATATATGTATTTTATAAACATATGTACTTTTAATTGGAAGAATATGAATATTTTTTCATCTTAACATATTTTAGGAACATTTGAAGCAAATGAAACCAATTTCAATTTTTTTGTTTAATCAGGTATAATAAAATAATTGTATGTAATTGACCATGTGCGAGTTCGAGTAATTGATGATAAATTGAGGAAAATTATAAATTATGTCCGTATGGCAGCGAATGTTGGTGTTTACCAGAATTTCGAGTATTGTAAATTAGGTAAATTTGATATTACCATTGGGAACATATTATAAGATGTATAATAAAAAAATAAATAAATTTGAAAACTTTTAACATAAGCGCAGCGCATAAAATCCCTAGGAAATTTCAATTTACTTTATGTTAATTTACCGAGTTGGTTAATTGGGGCCTGCAGACTTCATCGAATTGAATTATTCTGCTTATATTACTTCGTAAGCACTGCCTATGGATGGTAGAGAAAGTGAAATCGACTAAGGCATAAATTGTTATATGATCTTATATTACAAATTTGCCCCAATACAAGCTTAATCACATTTATTTATAATTTATTTATTACCATAACTTCTTACTTTATTTATTTATTTTGTTCAAATTACATAGTTTAAGTGAATTAATTTTAAGATAGTTGTTTGTTGTCGTTTTGTCATTGGGCCTTGTTGTGGTAGGAGGCAGGTTTAGGACTATTTTCGGAAAATACATTTTATGCCGGTTGCTTTCTTTCTTCTTTTTTACAATTCTATTTTCCAATCTTTTTGTCAAAAATACTAATGTATATTAACATAAAAAACTAAAGTTCTTCAAATTCTTGAGAACGATTATAAACTATAGTCGAAATAGAGAACAAATAATAAAAAAAATTTTGAAATAGTAAAAAAAATCTCTTTTCTATATTATTTTTTTTAAACAAAATTTCTTCGTTATCATGGACTAGGCCTCCTGGGGACACCATGTAAAAAAAAACGCGCCATGCATTATACCTCAAAGGTGGTTTGGAAATTAGTGCGCAACTAGTAACATGAAAATTGTCACTTCTATTTTATTAACGATAACCTTTCATGTATGTCGATCTAGTAACTATAAATGATTATGCAGTTATTTAAATAAATCTCCATTTCTCGGCAATTATCCGCTTGCAAAAGCTAATAGTCGATACACTTGTACCCCTTGTACTGATGTTCCGTTTATACTTATTCAGTATCTGTGAAGCGCATATATTTGCGAAATAGCGTTAATTATTTAAACTGCCATGTAAACCGAAGGTTTAATTTTAGATTGTTTTATTCATCTTAAATTGATTTCTATATAATTTTATTGTAATACATTTGGCAAAGCTACAGCATACTATTTTTAAAAAATATTTTACCAATTATTGATAAATATTTTATATACATACATATGTATGTAAATGTGAGATTGTAAATGTTTTCTGCTTTCCGACAAAATTACCTTTTATATGCTTTTTGGCTACGAACCTTAAGTTTTAAATTAATCAACATATGTATCTACATATGTATTTGCAACTGTAATGTTTTAAATTCCCGAACCAAGTTATAAATTGGTTACATTACGGTTAGATCATTTATATTTTATTGAGATTATGTTTTACTGTTATCTGTAGATGTATTTTATGTGTTGTCACTGCCTTTGTGCACTAGGACTGACAAAGTAATAACAAAAAACACCATCCATTCTTAACTTAATATTCTAGCTCAACATTAAATATTTATAAAAAGGAACGACTGCTTTATGTTGCGTAAGTTAATTCAAGAAGAAATACATATGTATCTTTTTTGTCTTTAAATATACATATGTATGTATATCGTGAAGTTCATACGATTATTAACAGTAGAAGCATACAAGTAAGTGCAATGTAAATTCATAATAATATATGCTACAATTTTAATAAAATGAAAATGTATATGTATGTATGTGGTCGCCAAAGAATTATATTACTTATATGTTCATATTAAAGAATAAAATAAAACGTAAATTATATATGTATGTATTCATAGATAATAAAAAATGGTAAAGGTACTAAAAACTAAAAGCTGTTAGATTACACGTTTCTATTAAGTTATATGCAAAATAAGTCATTTATTAAATAGCAGAGAATGCATTTTCAAAACTTGTTATACATGAACTCAAAAAAAATTTTAATTTCAAATTTATTGATTGTTTTCTGGCAGTTTATTAAAATAAAAAATTTATTTATTTGTTAAATGACCATTTTCGTGTTAATATATATGTGTATCTATATATATATATATATATATATATATATATATATATATATATATATATATATAATATATATATATATATAAATTGTAGCGTGCATAAGCATACACTATGTGAGTAAATAAGTATGCTGATATTTATTGTAACTTTATTGCATTCTTGCAATATGAGCCCCTACCGTCCGTTTGACGATAGTGTTTGGGCTGGCGTGTGAAGACGCCAATTCAGCAAATTCTCACAGTATGCTAATGCACACTGCTCCTCCAAATATGAACTTTGTAAAAAAACATTTTTCAATCAATAAAGCAAGTCTAAAAAGAGAACACGGTTTTTAAATTACTACATGGCGACCGTGACATGTTTTAAAAATTAATAAAATTATTATTAATAAATTAATTAATTATATTAAATTGATTGTGCACGCGTGATGGTGACATGTTTTAATAATAATAAATTGTTAATTAATTATATTAAATTAATTGTGCACACATGATGACGACATGTTTTAATAATAATAAATTATTAATTAATTATATTAAATTAATTGTGCACACATGATGACGACATGTTTTAATAATAATAAATTATTAATAAATTATATTAAATTAATTGTGCACACATGATGACGAGTGACTTCTAATTGCAATAACAATTTTGTTTTGATTGATGTGTTATTATTAGTTATAATAATAAAAGAAAATTATTAAAGAGAAATAATAAACAACACATATGATGACGATTGACTTCTAATTGCTAAATAACAATTTTGTTTTGAATGATGTGTCATTATTAGTTATAATAATAAAAGAAAATTATTAAAGAGAAATAATAAACAATTTATATAAAATAATTAAAATTTTTTTTATTAATTAACAATTAATAATAAACAAAAATTTATACAAATTTAAACTAAGTTTAAAAATTTAAACTAAGTGAAAAACTATGTAAAAATGTATGGAGTAAAAAAAAACCACTGCTGATACTGACGATACTGCCGTCGCTGTTTCAACGTCGCTGCGACCTACCTCAATTACTGCTGGCACAGTCATCAACTACAGCAAGACAACAGCTGCTGTGTACTTAATCTCAAATATAAGTGGATGCAAGCAAGTAGATTAAAAATTTAAAAATAAAAATTAAAAATTAAAAATTAAAAAAAAAAAATAATTTTTATAGAAATGAAAAATTTTATTAGTTTGAAATAACATGTAAAATCAATAATATTTTGTTTTATATTTTGGAAATTACTTTAAGAAAAACAAAAATCATAATAAATACAAATTTATAAAATACGAATACCAAATTAAATTAAATCATGATTAGAATTGTTTAAAAATTAATAAAATTAAATAACTCTGATATTTAATTCAAAAAAAAAAATTTTTTTTATTAAAAATTAATTTGTTATAATAAATACAACTATATACATAAGTGATTTTTTTTATTAATTTTATTTTAATGTTAACGAAAAGTTTACGTTGTCAATAAAATCAACTATATTTAACAAACAGTTGTTTATTAATTATATTTCATTTATATATTTATATTTGTATTCTATATATATATGTTTTTTTATACATCTATTCAATTTTTATGTTTTATATTCATTCATTCATTAATATTATTTGGAAATGTGCGGCCCAAAAGCCAATTTCGATAGGCCTCAGGCCAATGTAATTAATGAACTGGAAATACAGACAGATTTAAGTGATTTAAAAACCACGAATTTCCTTTTACTTATTCTTGTTATTATAGTGATAGGAAAAATAGTTCTCAAATTAATAGGAAAGTACAGAGCTTCCGTTAAAAGGAAGTATATGAATCGTGCAGTTTCAACGGATAACATTTAAAATGTTTAATTTCAGTTGGGTAATTTTTTCTCTCTTTGCTGCATTTAGTTACAAATTTATTACTGGACTAGTATGTAAAACATGTAGAATATTTTTATGAGTTCTCAATCGTCGTATAGGAAAATTTAATATTGAATTCTATATAATACGTGAATTTCATTTTAAGGCTATGTTATAGATTTATCTATACAATTCAAAGAGTTTACTATAACTTACGCAATTAAAGTGTTAAGATTTTCGTAAATTTAATTTACAATTTTAAAAACAAAATATTGTTTGATGGAATGGCAAACAATATTGAATAAAATACGCTTCCTAAAAGAAACGTTTAATAAATCCTATAAATGCATTGCAATAGATAGACCTATTAGTGCTACAACACTACACAAACACTGTACGTTATTAATACAGAGTTTAGAGAGTATTCGAGTACTTTTGAACGTACACTTTGATAGGTTCACAACCGCACACAAAGCGGAAGCGAGGAAAATCTTTGGAGACCTCCGTGAAAAAGCCATCAAAGTTACCCTAAAGAAAGGCATTAATGTTGAAATACCCACAACATTAAATGAAAAAATATCTATTAATATAGAATTAAATATAGACACAGACTCTGAAAATACAACGGAACACAAAAATATAGAAATGGCACAAGCACAAGTAGAGCTCGACAGAGCATACATAAAGGAAACCGCCATAGCAGTTCCAGAATTTGACGGGAAAAAACAACACTTGGAAAGATTCATTAGAGCATTACGTTTGATAGACCGCACCAAAGGTACACAGGAAGACCTTGCTGTGGAAGTTATAAAATCAAAGATAACAGGACCCATACTGTATAGGGTGAAAGACGAGGAAACTATACAGGGAATAATAACAAAATTATCCCTATGCGTCAAAGGAGAATCAATCGACGTCATAAAGGCCAAGTTGATGAATATTCAACAACGAGGCAAAACGGCTACTCAATATACTGCCGAAATCAATAATCTATGTCAAGCCCTTGAGGGTGCATACATAGATAATGGCGTAGATGCGGACAATGCAGAAACATTTAGTCGGAAAGAAGCTATATCTTCGATGACTAAAAATTGTACTAATGACAGGTTGAAAACTATAATGGAAGCAGGCACATTCAACTCACTGAATGAAGCTGTATCAAAATATGTCAACTGCTGTACAGAAATGCATGGAAGACCGGACGCAATTCTATATTACTCGCGAATAAATAACAGAAACACCTACCGCGGAAATTACAACCGTCGTAGAGGCCGTGGCAATAACAGCAATCAACGAAATAGCCACAGAAATAATAATCAAGATATTCAATCATATGGTAATGAATATCAAAACAATAGAAACCCCCGTAGAGGCAGTACATTTAATACCTCACGTGGACAAGGGCGTAATAACATACGCGTAATACAACAAAATTCGGAAAACTAATTACCCCCCCAAACCCATACAAACATCATAAAATCTATAATTTTAATCCCAATTCAAACCTCTTAATACAAATTTATAATAATGATGCAAATAAATCAATCACTCTTCTATTAGACACTGGTGCTGACATTTCAGTAATAAAACAGTCTCACACTATTTACAATAATGTAAATACAGAAACTGTTACAATTCTAAGTGGTATTGGCCAGGGAACAATACACACTATAGGATCAACTGATCTTGACCTTAGAATTGATAACTTTCTACTAAATCACAAATTTCAGGTGGTTCATGAAAGTTTCCCAATTCCTTGTGATGGTATACTAGGATTAGATTTTATAAAACAATATAATTGTATATTAGATTTCAAACATAATCAAAATTCACTTACATTAAGACCCGATAATTTTTTTACAGATATATCAATACCTATTGAACATTCTACTTTTAATAATACAAATGATACAATTCTTTTACCCGCAAGATCAGAAACAATTAAATGTATTAAACTTAATTGCTCTGAAAATGAAGTTCTAGTACACAGTCAAGAACCAATGCCAGGTATTTACATTGCAAACGCAATTGTTACTTCTAATAATGCATTTATACGCATCATAAATAGTACTAATAAAGATACAAGTTTAAAACATAATGACATAAAGTCAGAAAGTCTATTAAATTATAACATACTTACACACACACAAACAAAAAATAATAGAAGTCAAGAAGTTTTAAATAATCTAAAAAAAACTTCCCCAAACAATTCAATTCTCAATTGTACGAGTTATGTTCCCAATATACTGATATTTTTGGACTTGAGTCTGAACCAATAACCCACAATAACTTCTACAAACAAAAATTGTTAATGGAAGATAGAAAACCAGTATACATAAAAAATTATCGTATACCCCACTCCCATAAAGAAGAAATAAATAAACAGGTGAATAAATTAATTGATGATGGCATAGTAGAACCATCCATTTCACCTTATAACAGCCCTTTACTTCTAGTTCCAAAAAAATCTCTTCCAAACTCGAATAATAAAAGATGGCGTTTAGTAGTAGATTATCGCCAAGTTAATAAAAAACTAATTGCTGACACATTCCCACTCCCAAGAATCGAAGAAATTCTCGATCAACTGGGACGTGCCAAATACTTCTCATGTATTGATTTAATGTCTGGTTTTCACCAAATTGAACTTGATAAATATTCAAGAAACATAACGTCCTTTTCTTCGAGCAATGGCTCATATCGTTTTAAACGATTACCATATGGACTTAAAATAGCGCCTAATTCATTCCAGCGCATGATGACACTTGCATTTTCAGGCTTAAAGCCTTCGCAAGCTTTTCTTTACATGGATGATCTTGTTGTTGTCG